CTATATTAATACTGATTGTTGTTTCTTTCTCAGATTATATAACTGATAAGGACATTCTGAATTATTAAACTGAGAACAGGTACACAACCATATTAGTTGGATAATTATCTATTGATAACCTCCATAATGACTGGCCAAGCACATGGTGAAAACCTGTCTGAACTGGCAAGATCATTCCATAATATTTCATACAGGAAGCATAAAAATAAAGTATTTTTCAAACAAAATGTAATGGATGCAGTGATTCTATGCAATGCTAGTCAGGTTAAGAAAAGAAAAAAACACTAGACACTCCATAGTGGACTACTGAAACTTAAGGAAAGAAACAGTTCCACTTACTCCGGTCTCTGTCGTTACACAAGATATAGAATAAATTGCTGCCACTACTGACACACGTATGTAGCTGAGGATTTGGCAAGATATGCCAAGATTAGTAAATATACCTTTAATATTCCTTCTTGAGAATGTTTTAATTCCTATTATACACTTTCAATGTGGGACAAAACCTAGTAAAATGTGCATTGCTAGCAATCTCCAGATATTATATCACACTGATGACTGTGATCAACACCGAAGAAACATTACATGTTGTCTAGGCATACCTGATTAAAGATAACTTTAAATGATCCAGGGCTCTGTTATTCAGATAAATTTGGAGAAGGCAGTCATCATCTGGACAGCATGAAAAAAATACATTCTATATCACTTAAAGCAGGCATCCCCAACCCCCAGACCACGAATGATACCAGTCCATGGCCTGTTAGGAACTGGGCAACACAGCAGGAGGTGAGTGTCGAGTGAGCAAGCAAAGCTTCCTCTGTATTTACAGCCACTCTCCCATCACTAGCATTACCACCTGAGCTCCGCCTCCTGTCAGATCAGCAGCCTCATTAGATTCTCATAGGAGCACAAATTCTATTGTTAACTTCACATGCGAGGGATCTAGGTTGCGTGCTCCTTACGAGAATCCAATATCTGATGATCTGTCACTGTCTCCCATCACCCCCAGATGGGAGCGTCTAGTTGCAGGAAAATGAGCTCAGGGCTCCCACTGATTCTACATTAAGGTGAGTTGTATAATTATTTCATTATATATTATAAAGAAATAATAATAATAATAAAGTGTACAATAAACTTAATGTGCTTGAATCATCCTGAAACCACCCCCTCCATCCTGGTCCATGGAGTCTTCCACAAAACTGGTCCCTGGTTCCAAAAAGGCTAGAAACTGCTGCTTTAAAGGAAAATTTACAGGGCCTCCAGTCCTGGAGGCCCTGTAAGAAGAACCACAAAGGATTTTCCTTGTTAGGTAGTGGTGACATCACATTCTACACCTGGTGATTCTTCAAAGCACTATATCAATGCAACTAATTTTAAATAGAAGCTCATATATTAACATGCCTTGGAAGAGGTCTAGGCATCATAAAAACAAGCTCTAACTTTAGATTTTGCCATATCTTTCAAACTCATGGAATTACACATACCTGTAAGAAATCATTTTCTGAAGGAAGCTTTTGGCAAAAATACTGGTTTGTTGTTTTTTTTGTTTGTTTGTTTGTTTTTTTTTTTTTTTTTGCCAAAGATGTCTCCTACATCTTTGGACGAAATTATTTCCTTCTCCTGCTGAGTGGCACGTGTCAGTGACTGCTAGTCTACTACTGAGCCCTAATGGGACAGACTTTTCTCACCCTTCAACCTGACATTCGTATCCCATTATGGGCCTTCTCTAATCCAAAATCTGATAAAGTGGTACATGCCCAGGAAAATTCTACTAAAAGGGGGATACTGCACATCCAATCAATTAGACCTTAGACAAATTCATAAAATATGGCCTTACACTCACAGGCACAGAGATCTCTCTGCTGTTTTAAATAAACCATTGACTCGGTAAGGCACTTGCCTGAAAGATTTGCCACCTGACAAGAAAGCATGATTAACTAATGGAAAAGCCTCTCTCAAAGGTCATAAAATCTCAGTGGAGTGACACATTCCTTCACCATAATGATGGTGAGTTGTTGAGATCCCATGGTATTGGACATTTTTCAAAACTGGGTAAACTTCAGGCATTCTTCATGGCCATAGAGCACAATCTCCTCAGACTGACTGAATTGCACCCTTATAAAGACTAATGAGCCATCAGTAATGAGCCTAGTTACACTGTCAGGCTGTTGAGTCCCCTAGGACAGAACTCTTTTATATATATATATAAAAAATGGAGTCTCGCTCTGTCACCCAGTGGCATGATCTCGGCTCACTGCAACCTCCACCTCCCGGGTTCAAGTGATTCCTCTGCCTCAGCCTCCTAAGTAGCAAGGACTACAGGCATGCGACACCATGCCCAGCTAATTTTTGTATTTTTAGGAGAGATGGGGTTTCACCAAATTGGCCAGTCTGGTCTTGAACTCCTGACCTTGTGATCCGCCTGCCTCAGCCTCCCAAAGTGCTGGGATTACAGGTGTGAGCCACAACGCCTGGCCAACAGAACTCTTTACACTTGCTTTTCTGAGGTAAACTTTGCCCAAGGAAATAGTTACAACAACTTAGTCACAAGCTCAATTCTTATATTCTATGTGTATATGTCCATGAGAAGGAACTGAATCTAAAGGAAAACATTTGACATGAAAAAGCCAGTTAAGAATGTGTGACCATCATCTCTAGTATAGTCTTGGGTCCCTGTTCAAATCCATCCCACCATGAAGGAACACAATGGACAATAAGGAATTTATTCAAAAGACATAGAAGTCTTCAGGAAGCTGAGGTGCGAAAAGCCCTTGAGTCCAGGAGTTCTAGACCAGCCTGGGCAACATAGGGAGACTGTGTCTCTATAAAAAATAAAACAATTAGTTGGGTGTGTTGGTGCATGCCTGTGGTCCCCGCCAATCAGATGGCTAAGGTGGGAGGATGGCTTCAGTGTGGGACGTTGACGACATACTAAGCCATGATGGTGCCACTGCACTCCAGCCTAGGAGACAAAGTGAGACCCTATATCAAAAAAAAAAAAAAAAGACATACAGGCCACTGTTCTCCATCAAGCTTATTCTACTTGTAATTTAAGGCAGCCTCTTTGAAAACAACCTCCACAGGCTTGTCAGTCCACTTTTCCCTAATTGTTTACAAGTTACAGGCTACCATACCAAGCAAGGGCCCCTCTTGCCATGGTTAAACTCCAAAGTACCTAGAAATTAAGGAGTAGAGAAAAATATCATTTCAAGAGGAATAGCATACTCCTTTTCTTTTCTTTTCTTTTCTTTTTTTTTTTTTTAACGCCCTTTGCTTTGACCTCAGTTGCAAGAGAACACACAATATATTGCTCATTTAAAAGCATCAGATGGTGCTGCAGACATCCTCTTCTACCCTGCAGGTGACCTATGATGGCAAAATGGTAACTTTGAGGTCCCCACTGAACTATCACTCCAGACAAAGGACAATATGGCTCATCTCCATGGAGAAAAACAGATCTGTTTGTCAGATGTGAACATATCTGACCCTGGGAAATGGTTGGAGGCAGATGTTCAAGGGAGGTGATGAATGACTTTCTCTTTCCTATGGCAGATATGGAACAGACATTCCAAAACAAAGGTATCTGTGCTTAGCTGGGAAAAAGAGTTTATAATGTGAAGTTATTAGGATGTTGGTTCTACATCCTCATCTAACCCAGCTGGTGACCTTACTAATATTCTTCTCCCAGACAATACTAAGGAAATTGGTATGCTCAGGTCCAAGTGTCAGCCAGAGCTAATGCAGAGATCTATAATAATGAGTCTCCAAGATCAAAGGGTGGACAGCAGTGAGATAAATCTTTATTCACGGATGGTCCTGGTGATTCTCTTTCTTCCCTCTTTTCGTGGTTTCACAGAGCTGGCTCAGCAGGACTGTTTGACTCACTGATACCAGCTACATTGGTATATAAAGTACCTACTCCCTTGTCCCTTTTTCCAACAAGGCCATTGCCCCAACCAGGAAGCTCTCAGTGATACACAGTTGATTAGATGCTCTCTATGCCCTCTCAATTCCCCTATAATTTTGTAAAGTGATACGTGAGAAGGGGGCTCCTCTCAGCAGCATCTTTTATGGTGAATTCAGCTTTGCTTAATCTAAGTCTATTTCTGTATGGAATCATGACAACTCAGGGGATATTTTATCCTCTATTTCTTCCTGGATTGCAATGTTTCCTCCATAAAATCTACCTTGTGACTACTATTTGGGTCACTAGTCATATGCCCCTTAACTGTTATCCCAGTTAACTGAGGATATTAAAAGCTCCTTTAGTCTAGATCTTTTAGTTATAACATAAATTTTCATTTGTAGAAATTTATTTTGATAAAAATTGAAAAGAAACAAAACATTTTAACAGCTTTTATTTCACAATTAGATAATGCCTTTTCTTCATTGTTAACACCTTCCTTGACCACCCAATCTAAATTATCCTTCCCTGTGACTGTCAGATACGTAGTTTCATTACCTTCATGTATTAGTCTCCAAAATCATCTTGTTCATTTATTTTTACTTGTTTATGTTTTGTCTCTCCTGTTATAATGTAAGTACCACAAGAGAAGGCATCTTATCTGTCTGATTTTTCAGTAAAACACAATACCCCAAAAAGAACTGGACATATGAAGGTGACAAAAGTATCTGTTGAATGAGTTGGGTGAATAAATGAATGAGTAAATTCAACAGCTAATCATCTAATCTATGGAGAAAAAAAATGGACATGTTCCACCACTCTTCTCTTGTATGTTTTTGTGCTTTATAGAAAACCCAAGTAATAGTGAAAGTCCTAATGCAAGTGTTTAGAAAGAAATAGGTTGACTGTGTAACTCTTAAAAATAAAACACCATGAATTAGTTTACATTTTCATTTCTAAAAAGTGTGAATTTCAATGCCGCAAAACATTTAAGAAAAGCTAACAACACACATGATGTGAAACAATAAATCATTAAAATCTATTGTTTGATTATTTACCACTAACTCCATTCCCTAAGCAAAAATAAACTGATAAATGTTGTAAAGAGCAAAATTGTACTTTATTGTAAGCAATACCATGTATCTGCTCAGGTGAGGTCTCCTTACTTCGCTCCCATCCACTCTCTGAAGGTTTGGGAGACTTTTCCAAAGTATTTCAGAAACTCTATTAGGATCTAAGAAGTAACCCAAAATGAAGGTTGATGAATAATATTGTGCCATGTGCTTAATAGTTTGAATTTTTATTATATTTAGCAATATAATATAATATGTAATGTATTATATTGTATTATTATATAATATATAATAATTAACCTAAATCTATTGAGGGCAATTCTATAAAACCTATCAAGCTGAAACAACCTATTTCATCTCATATTTCCCATTATTGTCCTTAGTCTAGGATCCAAACAAAATGAATTTTTGGCCTTTTCCTGAGCACACTGTATAGATTCTAAACATCCTCGTCTTTGCCTCAAAGCAAAGTTCTGTCCACTCGGCACACCCTTTCCTCACATTTCCCTGTTAAAATCCAACCCAACCATCCTTCTTAAATTAAATGGTATGTAATTCTTAATCCAGTCAGAAACAACTTTTCCTCTTCTTTGATGTAGCTTCTTGGTAATGTTTTATAGAATGCAACGTCTGCATTATACTCCACTTATTTTTGTACATGTCTAGTCGACCCTACTAGACTGTTAATGCATTGAGGGCAATGACCATATATTTAAAGCCCTTTATATCCCATAATACCCAGTACAGTGCCTTGCACAGCATGGATGCTCAGTCAGTGTTTCCTCATTTGAGCTAAACTGAATTGAAATGAATTACAATCATCTTCCTCCTTAAGTTATTACATCAATCAACATTTCTAGGGGAAAAAAGGCATTTAAGAGGGATTATTTGATATATTCATTCTATGATTTTTTTTAATCTTGATGTCCTATCATCCTCATTCTGTTGTTCTCCATTGAACCCTTCTTCCATTCTATCACTTCCCATTAAAATTCTAAAATGTGACTTATCAGAAAAGTAGAATGAGGGCTGGCAGGGGTAGTAACTCACTAGGTAATATTATCATAATGCCTCTTTAAGATTTTTCCGAACACCCATGGAAAGTAACTGACACTGCCTTACCATGTCTTCATAGAGACTAGAAACTCTCTTTAAATGCTTTTTGTAAGCCAATGTTTGTATTTTCTGGGAGTTACCAATGTACAAAGAGCCTATCACATTTATCAGCAGCAACTAAATGTTCAATATTAAAACAACTTATATCAAAAGTTACCACCTCATGTTCTTCAGGGTGATAAACTACTGGCTCTGCAGGATTTTCAAAGGCTATAGGTCACCATGATTGCATGGAAAACTATAGTAATATTTCATGCTCTACCATAATCTGAGTATGAATATAAGAGCACCAGCCGGGCACAGTGGCTCACGCCTGTAATCCCAACACTTTGGGAATCCGAGGTGAGTGGATCACCTGAGGACAGGAATTTGAGACCAGCCTGGCCAACATGGCAAAACCCCATCTCTACTAAAAATATAAAAGTTAGCCGGGCATGGTGGCGGGCACCTGTAATCCCAGCTACTGGGGAGGCTGAGGCAGGAGAATCACTTGAACCCGGGAGGCAGAGGATGCAGTGAGCTGAGATCATGCCATTGCCCTCCAGCCTGGGCAATAAGAGCCAGACTCCATCTAAAAAAAAAAAAAGCACCATGCTTTTGCTTTATTTCTTCCTATTTCTGCATGATATGTAAGTTCCCATTACTGTTGCAGATAATTATTAATACTTTTCCTTATACATTCTCAAATGCTGACCATACATATTTAAAATATAAAGAAATCAACAATAAGAAACCAACCATAATAAGTTTGCAAAGCAACAAGTGGACCAATGTCTAATTTTCTCTTGCACATTGTATTTAAAACATGTAGTTTTTAGTATATATCTAGTTAGTATTTAAAATATATACTTTTAAATATAAACATTGACTACAAACATTTAAAATGAACATTTTCAAAACTTCTGGCCATTAATCATTACACTTATTACCTAATTCTTGCTAATTCACCTGGGTCTATAATCCATAAATATTTAAAATGGCAATGAAGTACATAAATGCATACTTCTAGGTAATTCCTCTTTACTCCATGGTAATGTGAATCAAGAAAGTCTGTGAATCAATCATAATATAATAATCAAAGAGACTCACTAGTGAAAACTATAAGATTCAATTGGATGAATCAATCAACTCAATTATATATGTGAATGCATGTACATATATATGTGTGCGTATAGTAACTGAGTTAAAATAGAAGGTAAAAATGATTTTTCAGTAAGTTGTTTATGTATCTAGCTCATGCATCTTGATGATAACTAAGTTGAAAATAAGGGTTAGTTCCTCACTATCTGGAAATTTTAATTGTTGTTGTCAGAAAAAAAGAGTGTGTTTGTACATAGACCTGGTCCTTAATTTAAATTTTTCATTTAATTTTTACTTTTGACTGCATCAACTCCTCAAACTTTGAAATCTAAAGTTTCTAACATTTTCTACTTAAAATTAGTTTCAAAGAGTTTTGTGACAAAATTTAATATGGTTATTTTCATTACTTAGGTATGCAGACTGATAAAGATTAGAAAATGACAGAACAAATTTTTAAAAAGTGTTTTACCTTTTTTCAATCAGTCTTCCGCTTTGGGCAGTGATCTGTGATAAAGATAATACTAGATTTAAAAATATCAAGTATGCATATACAATGTTTACATTCAGTCATTTAGAAAAATGTCATTTAATATGACAATTTTGTAAGATTAAGGTATCAAAAAAGCAAAGAAATTATCATATTGTAGCATTGGAAGAGACACTATAGAAGGAGAGTAGGCCCTAAAATTACACTTGTATTTCTAAATTAAGAGCAAATAAGGTTTTATACTTTTAGTAAACAAAAATTTTTTTTTTGAATGAAAGAAAAGCATGTTTATTAGAGCAACGGAGTACAAGAAAACAGCTGCTCCATAGACAGAGCAGGCCTGCTCCATAGGCAGAGTAGCCCAAAATTTATTTCAAACTTATCTATTATATAATTATCTAATCCTTTTAAATATTCTTGTTGAAGGATGTATAATGCTAATATTATGCATAATAAACTGTGGAGGTGATTTTTGTAATTTATCAATTTTAAAATAAGTATACTGAGAATACATGTTCAAATAAGTTTACAGAAGTATGTAACCAACAGTGTTAGGCCAGCCGGGCAAGGTGGCTCACAACTCTAATCCCAGCACTTTGGGAGGCCAAGGCAGGCAGATCACCTGAGGTCAGGAGTTCAAGACTAGCCTGGCCAACATGGCGAAACCCTGTCTCCACTAAAAATACAAAAATTAGCTGGGTGTGGTGGCAGGCTCCTGTAATCCCAGCTACTCGGGAGGCTGAGAGAGGAGAATTGTCTGAACCTGAACCAAGGAGGCAGAGGTTGCAGTGAGCCAAGATCGCACCATTGCACTCCAGTCTGGGCAACAGAGTGAGACTCTGTCTCAGAAAAAAAAAAAAAAAAAAGGCCAGTGGCCTTAAAAGTGTGATTTTTATTAATAAATTACCTCTTGTGAATATAATACATACTTTCCTATAGTATAAATGTTGATTGTAGGCTTTATTCTGGACCTGATTTTCATCTAATTCAGTTTCTTTTATGCAGAGATTAACTGGTTTTATCCTTATTCCCCTGTGGCAAAGACTTCTAAATGGTCAACAAACTAATTTTCTCTTCTTCTTAGACACATTGTTAGTCTACATTTGTTAATTCTCCCTGTAGTTAAAGGTAGCAAATAGAATGTGAGAAAAAAGGATGTGCATCTCCTCCAGCCAGGTCAATGAAAATTACTCATGTTTGTCCTCCATATTCTTTTCTGATAGCTAGGTAACTATGCCCAGTGTGGCTCAGGAAGCCACATGTAAGATGGCAAACCTTCCATATGCCAGGATACCTTAACAACCCTGTGGAGCAGAACTCCTTACCACGAACACTGACCTTGAACTTCCTTGGACTATTAACACCAGGAAAGAAGCTTCCATTGTGTTAGAGCCATCATACATTTTGTGTCTATATGTCACAATAGTCACAATAGTTATCCTATATACTAACTAATAAATCATCAATGATTTTCATACAGCCTATGCAGACAACTCCTACAGAGCTAAACAGGGATGCAAAATAACAGTTACATAGGACTTCATGATACACAAAAGCAGTTCATAAGCATTATCTCATTATACCCTCACAGTATTCTTTTTTTTTTTTTTTTTTTTTTTTTTGAGACAGAGTCTCATTCTGTCATGCAGGCTGGAGTACAGTGGCACTATCTGGGCTCACTGCAACCTCTGCCTCCCGGGTTCAAGTGATTCTTCTGCCTCAGCCTCCCGAGTAGCTGGGACTACACTGCAACCTCTGCCTCCCGGGTTCAAGTGATTCTTCTGCCTCAGCCTCCAGAACAGCTGGGATTATAGGCACACACCACCATGCCTGGCTAACTTTTCTTTTTTTTTTTTTTTTTTAAGTAGAGACAGGGTTTCACCATATTGGCCAGGCTGGTCTCCAACTCTTGACCTCAAGTGATCCTCCTGCCCACCTCCCAAAGTGCTGGGATTACAGGCATGAGCCACTGTACCCGGCCACAGTATTCTTATAAAGTATTATCATCCTCCATTAATTAAAAGTTTATAGATAATTATGTATAGTTCCTGACAGAAACAATAATAGTTCTTGCCCCTCCCTCTGAATTAAAAAAGACTATTATTCTAATAAACAACCTCAAAAACAGATGCAAAATCAACAAGGAACTACTTTTTCCAACTTGTCATTATGACATACATATCACAGGGCTTTTGTGTAATATAGTGTCCAGTAGTAGGAGTTCCAAATATTTTTCCTTTACTTGTAAATTTTAGGTGTCTATAGCAAAGGGTGATAAGGTGGCTTCCCTGTGAAGCTCAGACCCAAGAGCATTGAGGCCTTCCCACCTCAGATGAGAAAGCCTGCTCTTGATACTAATAATATCACAGCTCCACAGCCAACCAAGGGCACTATGATACCCAGGAGAGCTCTATCAGCAGAAAAAATGAAATTAATTTATAGTTACAATATACACAAAAACCTTATTAATTATGGGATCAATAAAAGGGAAGAATACATCTACCCCACTGATGCGCAATTATCCTCTTTACAAACAGTATCTTACATGTTATTCCTTTACCCAGAAATTTTCTTTTCCGAAAATTGAAGACCAAACTGCTTGATTTAGCATTCGATTCAGGAATTTTCACAATCTCATACTTATCTATTAATACTCATGATAGGCAGACTCTAAAATGGCTACCAGCGATCCCTGCTCATGGTGTTCACGCCAGTGGTATACCTTTCCCTTGTGTGTGAGTTGGTGCTAGTGACTACTTCCACTTTTAATGAACAGGATATGACAAAAGTGATGGAATGTCACTTCCAAGATTAGATTCTCTCTCTGTCTCTGTCTCCATGTCGATTTTTCTCCATCTATGTCTCCCTATATCTCACTCTGCCTTTGTTTCCATGTTGTAAGCTACATTATGGAGAGGCCCCTATAGCAAAGTACTGATGTCTCAAATCAATAGCCAGCAAGAACCTGAGGCCTAACAACAGTCATGTGAGTACATGAATGAGCTTGGGAGTACATCCTTCTCCAGTTGGACCTTAAAATACATACAGCCAAGAGTAATGCCTTGGCTACATCCTTGTGAGAGGGAACCTGAGCCAGAGGACATAGCTAAGGAACATTAGGATTCCTGACCTACAAATATTCTGAGATAGTACATGTTTGCTGTCTACACCACTAAATTTTGGCATAATTTGTTATGTTGCAAAAAATAACTGAAACAGTACTTTTTGTTTCTCATTTATCTTTTAACCAGATACATTTTAGGAAACGGAGAAGGGAGAAACAGTGTTTCAAGCAGAGAACAAAATAGGCAAAATACTTAAGGTTACAGAAAACACCATATGTTCTATAAACTTAAAGAAGGTTCAGTGTAGCTAAAGCATAAAATATATGATACACATGTGCATATGAAAGCATGTGCAATAGCCTGGGGGGATAATTAAAGATGAGGCTGGGGCCTCAGGAAAAGACCAGATCTAACAAAGCCTTAAACCATAAGTAGGACTTTGTTCTTAAAGTAAGGACAGTAGAAAGCATTCAAGATTTTAGGCAAGAAGGTAACAAACAAATATCAATTTTTGCAAGATGACTAGCCACCAACAAGGAGACTGGCCTGGAAAGAAAGAGACCAATTAGAGTCCTGGTGGGAGCTTGCCTAACAAAACTGTCAGTAATATTGACAAAACTGGACAGAATTTGATAGATAATAACTGGGTCAAGACGAAGGAAAAGAAGAAATAACAGTGATGCTGGACTTTATAGTTTCAGCAATTAGATGGATGAGGATGCCAGGAGACTGAATACTGAGAGATAAAGCAGGTCTGAGAAGAACGCAATTGGTTCATTTAGGGACATGGTGAATTCTAGATGTTTGAAGTCCATCGAAATAGAAAAATTCAGTATGTTAATGAATAATAGGTCTGGAAATGAGGTGTTATTCAAGTTAGAGATAAGAGATTTATATGGCCCTAGAAGCCATGAAGGTATATGAGCATGTTCAGAAAGAGTATATGGAATAAAAAGAAACTCTAGGACAGAACCCAGAGAAGTACTAACATTTAAAGAATGAGCAAAGCAAGAGGAGACCAAAGAGGCATTCCAAAAATATATAAGGAAAACCAAATAATTATGCTGTTTCTCAAACAAACTATAGACTATATATGTACCCCAGAACTTAAAGTATAATACAAAAATATTTAAAAATAAATGATTAAACATGGTTAAATGCTGCTAAGAGGACAAATGAGATTAAACTATAAATCATCTGGCCGGGCGTAGTGACTCATGCCTGTAATCCCAACACTTTGGGAGGTTGAGGCAGGTGGATCACCTAAGGTCTGGAGTTCGAGACCAGCCTGACCAACATGGTGAAACTCCATCTCTACTAAAAATATAAAAACTTAGCCAGGCGTGGTGGCAGGCACCTGTAATATCAGCTACTCAGGAGGTTGAGGCAGGAGAATCACTTGAATCTGGGAGGCAGAGGTTGTAGTGAGCTGAGATCACAACATTGCACTCCAGCCTGGGCAACAAGAGAGAAACTCCATCTCAAAAAATAAAAAGAAAGAAAGAAAAAAACTATAAAGCATCCTTCAGAATAGCATCAAATAGATTTGTTGTAACCTTGGCAAAAACAGTTTTAATGCAGTGATTGAGAAAGAAGATTACAGTTAAATTACTATAAGAACATGGACAGTGAGTATAAACTTCTATTACATCAAAATCTCCAATAATGATATCTCCTGTTTCACTATTACCAGAACAAGTCATCTGAATACATGACATTATATACACCGTCTGTGCAAAGAACCTAGCATATAATAGATGTTTAATTAATGAGTGTTAAGCTAGATACACAAGAAGACAGATGTGTATTGATCTATATATAAACCCACTAAAATTAGAATCACTTATGTGTGAAAGCAATGTGATGTTTTAGCTACTGTTCTGCTAAGGTTCATTTTACTATTTAATCTAACTTTTTCTATCATATATGAAAACCTTTGTTTTGGATTAGGAGATAAATACTGGGAAATAGAAAACAATAAAGCTTTTAACAAAGCAAGTTTCAAATGCAGCCATGTAGACAAGCAAAGAAGATATCTTCAGATGTGATTTTGGAGCTGGAAAGACCTGAATTTGAAATCTAACTCAATATTACTCACTGTAATGTGGCATGGCTAATTTTTTAAAGTTTTGGTTTCATCCTCAAAATGGAGGTGCTAATAGCTATCTTATGGTCTTGTATAAATGACTAGCCCATATACATAGATATAAAATGACCAGCAGATTTTATAATAATGGCAGATATAAAATGACTAGCAGATTTTATAATAATAGAAGCTATAAAATGACTAGCAGATTTTAAGTTGTGCTGCTTCTTTTGTTCTTTGTCTTAAAGCAGCTGACAGACAACCCTACGTTTCTTTAAATATTTTATATTCAATTCAGTGTACCTCACTCCATTTATATACGTGACCTAACAACTTTAATAATTTTTATTGCCTTCAGAGAAACTGTCTTTATTATTTATCTTTCCAGGAAGAAGTTGAGGTCATTCACAATAAAAATTACACAAAAAGAGAAGGTAAAAATAAAGGACTCAAATCTCAGATGCTGATGTGGACATTCAAAATCAGTATATATTTAAGTCATAGTTTAGTATTCAAGATAATAATGAGTTGACATATCCAGAAGGTAAAGGGAAAAAGTAAAAACAAACCCAAAACCAGAAGCATGATTTTTTAAATAACATATACAAATGAAGTAAATAATAATATAAAAGACAAACTTCTCACAACATATACTTCTGTCTCCATTTTGGTTATTTCCTCACCTGTGGATATTCTTGGATTTTATCACTTGTCTTCTGTCCACCTGAATCTGAAACCAGTGATTTTCCTGTTTCCTTCTCCAATGGTATAGTTTTTGAATCTTCACTTTTAACTTCTCTTTGACTATTACCCACTCGCATGGTTGTCTCAGTTTTCCCCTCACTTTTAAGTAACTTCCTCTCTTGACTTAGGAAACAGTTAAGTTGATGCTTAGCTTTTTCAGCTTCCTGTTTTTAAAAAAGTACCAGTTTATTAAGCATTTTCTGATATTTTCCTGCCAACACTACCACATTCAGAAATCTACACATATTTATGCCTACATGATTTCTCAACTCATTTTTACTGAGTTGAAGTGAGCAAAGGTAAGCTATTGGCATAATTCATACTTTAATAATTCCGCAGTTAAAATCAGAAGTTGTGAAGAAACCTCTTCCACCTTTGAGGGCTATTTTTATACCCACGAGTTTCTCCTGGCTGTTATTTTTAAGGCTCTAATTATTATACAAGCAAAATAAAAATTCATATAAGGTATATATTATAAAAACTGATAGACTATAAGAAGGATAATTAGCACCTATAATATCAAAGAATGAAATAAAATGTGGAAAACAACATTTATTCTGGAATAAAATTCTTCTCAAAAATGTCACTTTTTATAATTTTTATTTAGTCATACAATTAACTTACTTATATAAAAGAATATATAAACAAAAAGAAAATTCACAAATAATCTCACCTCATAAAGAAAAATTACTGTTAACATTTTGAGGTATATCCTTTCTAAACTTTTCTAAATATAGCTAGTGTGTGTATATATATATACACACTACATATATACACACACACACACACGCTATATATACACATATATAGTGTGTGTACATATATATACACACTAGCTATATTTAGAAAAGTTTAAATACATATATGCAGGTTTTTTTGCAACCTCTAGTCTCCTGGGTTTAAGTCATCCCCCCACCTCAGCCTCCCAAGTAGCTGAGACTACAGGCTCACACCACCACACTCAGTCAGTCTGTGTATTTTTAGTAGAGACAGGGTTTCACCACGTTGCCCAGGCTGATTGCCAACTCTTGGGCTCAAAGTGATCCACCAGCCTCGGCCCCCCAAAGTGCTGGGATTACAGGCATGAACCACCATGCCCAGCCAAATTTTTTAAATGTTTATCTAAATTGGGTCATACTATACATACTCACATATTATGCTCTTTTCATTAAATAATGTCATAGATATGTTTCTATAACAATAAATGTACATTTAAATCAGAATAGGTAACAGAAGTACGTTTAATAATATACCATAATTGTCTTAGCAAACTCCTTATCAATGGACATTTAGATCATTTCAAAATTTTTGCTATGACAACATATGACATTGTACATACTCGTGCAAACTCTCTGTATACCTGTATACTTTTTTCTTCTTTAGGACAAACTTTTAAAAGCTTTTATTGAGTGAAAAGGCTACATCTTTCCAAGTTTGCTATGTCTTTTCTGTCTCCCAGAAAAGACATAACAAATATCTTTCATACTTCTATTATCAAAAAAATGATGAATATATCAATTCATACTTTTTTGATAATAGAAGTATGAAAAAAGTTGCTCATTTCAGTATATAACCACAAATACTACATATTTCTGTCCTTTACATTTTTACCAAGATGGTAGGCAAAACAATTTTATAATACACAAATATACTTTTGTATATTCATTTATGAAATGCTTATATAGTTTTTTTCATTTCTTATAGTATTATTTAACTAGAATTTTAAAAAGAGTAGTAAGAGTTAACATCTTGGTTCAACTAAGTTTAATTGGAATGCCTGCAGTATTTTACCTTTAAGTATATTGCTTATCAGCTTGAAATACATTGTCTTTTTTTCTTTTCCTTTTCTTTTTTTTATACTGCAACCATGACAGATGAATAGATTGCCGTTATTAGCTTAAGAAAGTTTGTTTTTCTTTATATTTCACTATTTTTGATAAGAATGAATATTAATTTTTATTAATATATCCCTAATGCATAAAATGAATATAGTTTAAACCTGGCCAAACAGCAGAATATGTAGACCTCTTAGCTTACAAAGTAAAAATTATTCATTTGAAAAGTTCTTTGTGGATATTTTCTTTACTTGTTAACAATGTTAAAGAAACATGACATCCTTTACCTGTAAAGCCTGTTTCGATTGCTCCTGAAGGACTTTGTTCTCAATTTCCAGACGTGCTACTTTCTAGGAAGTAACAAGAGGGAAAACAGTATTTACTTTGGTATTTTTAATTAATTTAGTTTTACCGGTATTACTTTTCTAAAACCCATAGATAGCCAAGATAAGATTTGAGCATAGACATTGAACTGCACACTTTTCAGGTGTAATGATGGATAATGCCTGAAGCTAAAGCTTCCTATTGATTTTTCACAGGCAAACTGAGCATGAATCGGGGAAATTACAATTGCAAAAATTAAACGTTTCATTTCTCCTTTCCTCTAGGCCTGAAATATTTAAAAAGAAAAATTTCAAATTTTACTAAAAGAAGAACCTTTACTCTTAACACAAAATAAACATTCTTCTGGCTTTGTGCAAATGAGCAAATTCTATTTCACGTGATTTTCCAGGAATTCTCCATCAAATTAAGACACTTTGAGGACCATATTTAGAGTTCCCAGTTTTGCTTCTGATATGACTGAGTTCCCACTGGACAAATGCTGCCACACATAGCAACCATAAACTCTGGACTAAATACAAGTATCAACAATAGGAGAACAATCAGGAGTAGGCAGATTTGTTAACTGTTTTGTTTTATTTTATTTTATTTTATTTTATTTTATTTTATTTTATTTTATTTTATTTTATTTTTTAGAGACAGGGTCTTGCTCTGTTACCCAGGCTAGAGTGCAGCAGTGGGTTCCTAGCTCACTGCAGTCTCAAATTCGTAGGCTCAAGTCATCCTCCTGCCTCAGCCTTCCAAAGCATGGGGATTATAGGCATGAGCCACCACACACCCAGCCAAGTGTAGGTAGATTCTTGAGGGAAGGTGACACTTGGAGGAAGGGAAGAACTCTAGGTAAGATTCTCATTTTTGTGGTTTTTAGTTTGAGAGCAATTCCTATCTGAGCCATTCAAGGTGCCTAATAGCTGATTTTAAAACCACCAGAGGACAGAGTTCAGGACAATTCAAGCCACTGGAAAGGTTAGAGGGAAATTATACACAGAAAAGAATATAAGAAAGGGAGCCCCAGATTCTTTGTATAAACTCTACCCAAATCACCTGACCCCTGAACCACATATGCATAAAGAAGACTAAGCAGCCTAGCAAAAGCTAAAAAATCTAAAATGCAATTTGAGCTGCTACCTAAATATATAGTTTACATTTTGAATCCAATAGTATTAATTATATATTAAAGAAAAAAAAACCATCAGAAGAATATAACACAATCTAGGGTTTCAAGAATATGATATTCATAATTGCCAGGATATAATTTAGAAATACTTGACATTTGAAGAAACAGAAAAGTGAAACTAATTCTTAAGATAAAAGACAATGAGGGGGGCGGAGCAAGATGGCCGAATAGGAGCAGCTCCAGTCTCCAACTCCCAGTGCGAGCGACACAGAAGACAGGTGATTTCTGCATTTTCAACTGAGGTACTGGGTTCATCTCACTAGGGAGTGCCGGATAATCGGTGCTGGTCAGCTGCTGCAGCCTGACCAGCAAGAGCTGAAGCAGGGCGAGGCATCACCTCACCTGGGAAGTGCAAGGGGGAAAGGAATCCCTTTTCCTAGCCAGGGGAACTGAGACACACAGCACCTGGAAAATCGGGTAACTCCCACCCCAATACTGCGCTCTACCAAGGATCTTAGCAAATGGGCACACCAGGAGATTATATCCCACACCTGGCCGGGAGGGTCCCACGCCCACGGAGCCTCAATCATTGCTAGCACAGCAGTCTGCCATCTCCCAGGCAAGGCAGCAGTGAGGCTGGGGGAGGGCGCCCACCATTGCTGAGGCTTAAGTAGATAAACAAAGCAACTGGGAAGCTCGAACTGGGTGGAGCTCACAGCAGCTCAAGGAGTCCTGCCTGTCTCTGTAGACTCCACCTCTGGGGACAGGGCACAGCTAAACAACAACAACCACCACCAAAAAAAAGCAGCTAAAACTTCTGCAGACGCAAACGACTCTGTCTGATAGCTTTGAAGAGAGCAGTGGATCTCCCAACACGGAGGTTGAGATCTGAGAATGGACAGAATGCCTGCTCAAGTGGGACCCTGACCCCTGAGTAGCCTAACTGGGAGACATCCCCCACTAGGGGCAGACCGACACCCCACACCTCACACAGTGGAGTACACCACTGAGAGGAAGCTTCCAAAGCAAGAATCAGACAGGTACACT